GTGTGTGTGTGTGTGAGAGGAACAGGGTCACATCACAGGAGAGTGAACTGCCTGTCAGAAATCATAGCACGTCAGCCGTCTTAACCGCGGCTTGTGTACTGCATCATCACTGTGCCTGTCACACGACTCTGTTGCCCTTTCGGGGTTGAACTGATGGTAAAACTAAGGACATTATTAACTGTCTTGATATTTACTTTGAAAGCTGATGCTCGCGATTATGGTAAGGGGCGTTACATTTCCAACGCGTGCTTGTGGTGTTCGGCCAATCACAATGCACTGGGTCAGCTGGCCAATCAGAGCAGACTGCGCTTGTCAAAGGAGGGGGCTTTGTTGAAAAGATGTGTTTGAGAGAGGCGGGGCATAGAGGACCTACAATAATGTACAGTATTTGAAAAATAATGTTTTTTGAACATTAAAGCATGTAAACATATGCTGTTACACCAAATACACAAAATAATGATCTTTAAAATAGCATCATATGACCCCTTTAAAAGAAAGACCTTAACCCTAACGAACGACAACATTATGGTTGCATGCTGCAGTTTGTCGTCTGTCGCTTTAAATGCTTGAGCTTAAAATAGGTGCATTCTGATTGGCTGTCAGTGTTTTATCGTTCATCAGCTGGGAAAAAATCGATCTGAAAGTGAATCCAATGAAACTGTTTCTCTGTGCCGTTGACAATAAAACTAGGAATAAATATAATCTTACTAATTCATATTATTGGACAGTGACTGACAACTGATATGTATATGCATTTTATAGTCTATAAAAATTTGAATGCTGTAATAACTGTACCAAACTGAATATTTCTGCACCGTTTGGGCCTCTGAATAAAATTGTGATGAGTTTTCCTTGAGTATAAGCACATTCGTCCTTCATCATATGGGCCATAAAAGCCTGATGTATCAAATAAGATACAAAACATAAAACAGACATATCCAAACTTTTTTTCCCTAAAAACTCGATAAACTGTTTCGGTATTACAGTAAAAAAAATATTTTCTATTATTTCATATTTAGGGGCTTACTGGGATTATTATGTTCTGAACTCTCTTAAACAGCAAATATTTGTAACCACTTTTATGTATTTTCACTCAGTCTCCACTAGATGGCGCAGTTTCAGCAGGACTGGTCTTTCCTTCTCCTCGGCGCCATTTTCAAACAGTGTTACCGCCACCGGAAGACCGTTCACCGTGGGGAGGGGAGGAAATTTGCAGACACTGATGCTTAGCTAACCTCAAAACAGTTTCACACTATGAAAGCACCGAGGAGAAGCACCCAAACAACGAACAGCAAGCAGACTTTGAGGGTTAATTGTTGTATCGGCTATTATATTCCCCCTGAGGAGAGAAGCTTTATTTCCGTGGGCCAGAGACGCTGCTAATGTTAGTATTATGAATACTGCAGAATGAAGACTGAGGCTAATGCAGCAAACTCCCTCCGAAGACAGACTGACAGTTTACGTAAACATCAACAAGCGTTAGAGTAAGTATGTTTTGTGAAAACGGTTTATGTTTGTATTATTAATTGGCTTTTGTAGCTTTATGGTCACGTTTTAAAAGTGAGCTGCCTAACTTAACCTACCTAACATTCGCAGTGCGTCCAAAAGTGCTGTCTAGGGGTTTGTTTCCAAAAAGCATCTATGGTTGCAAGTTCTATTGAACTCTATTGGTAGCAACGGAACTTGCGACCATAGTTGCTTCTGAAAAACGCACCCCAGTTTTGGCAGCTCACTAGATTTTGGAACACAACCAACGAATCCCCTTCTTAACGTTGGTTTAATAAAGGTTTAAAGTATTAAATAAAGATACAAAACCAACTAGTGCTCTGTGTGTATCACTGTGTGTATGTAGAGCGGAGCGTGTATTTGTGTTGAATGACCATGACGACCAGCGCCGAGCGGAAGTTTATCAATCTGCGGAAGCGTTTGGATCAACTGGGCTACAGACAGCCACTAGCCATTGAGAGCCTGCCACTGGTCGAGAAACTCTTCAGGTGAATATGCTGTATTATTCATGCTGAACTATACACCAATAAAGATTTTTGTCATCTGGGTCAGTAGTTTAGATACTCTTGCCCTGCCGTTCCTATATATATATGTATATATGTGTGTGTGTGTGTGTGTGTGTGTGTGTGTGTGTGTGGCAAAAATTATATTTTCATTTTGGAAACAAATGAATGTTTATGAAAAACGATGGAATATGGTTACTTGTTTATAATTTAACTGATGCTTCTAAGTCATTTGTAGATAACAATTCTGAGTACATCACACAAAGCCAAATATTTACATATTTTGGTGGCATAAAAACACAAATACATGATCATTAGATTGTGACAATTGCAACACTGGCCTAATGGAGCAAGTACAAGTTCTGCCAAGAACATGTAGATGTTCATCATAACAGTTCCAAAATGGCTGAACATATGTATATTTGATCTCGTTTCTGGAAATAGTCTTCATGAAAATGAAACATGACATACATTTTATAAATGTATATAATATGTGAAACATGATTTGACAGGAGCATAATCATTCTGGTTTCATTTATATCTTAGTGACCTGGTCCACACCACAGAGAGTCTCAGGAATGCCAAGCTTGCTGCAGGAAAGACGGAAAAAGAAAGTCGAAATGTTGATGCTGTTCTGGAGCCATATAAAGCTGAAAATGCCCGGCTAGTCAAAGAAAGCAATGAACTGCACCTTGGGCTGTTGAAACTGAGAGAGGAGAAGGATCGGATCAGCAGGGGTATGGATTGAGTTTAATGCCTCAAATCCTGTTGCAAACAAATTTGATCTAAAGGGAATGGTTATAATAACCATTTTTCCATTAACAGAGCTGAAAGCATACATCAGGAAACTGGACCATGAAACCTCAGATCTGAAATTCCTCAATAATCAGTATGTGCACAAAGTCCGGTCTCTTGAGCAGGACAGCAAAGCTAAGACAGAGCGTATCCTACAGCTCCAGGAGAAGAACATGCAAGCTGTTGTTCAGACACCAGGTTGGTACATTTTATTTAACATTGCAGCTATGTTATTCATCTGTGTCTGTTTATGTTACAGTTAGAGCAATTTATAGTGAATAACTAATTTAATTAGGAGGGAAGAAACGATCAATCCCGTTTAGACGTCAGCGGATGCAGATAGATGAACTCCTCCCACCCTCCAGTGGCTCCATCCCTTCATCTGTGGCACAACCAGATGATCCTTACATCGCTGACCTTCTTCAGGTGGCTGATGACAGGTGTGGGGAAGGAAACAAAACAGAATCATGATAAATCAATTTTGTAATTAATGCATTTGAGGGCAGACATTAAGTGTTTCTTAAGGAAAGAAAAGAAAAAAGGCAATATTTAAACATTTAATTAATTTGCATGAGAGAGTTACTGCATTAATTTTGAAAGCACCGATTCTAACACATTATTATAATATTTCATAATATTTATAAATGCTATAAATATAAAAAAAGTTTTAAATTATTTTTGCAATTTATATATATATATGTGTGTGTGTGTGTGTGAATGTGTATATATATATTTTTTTTTTGTGACATTTAAATATTTAATCTGTTGCACAAGTTAACAAATTCAGCCCAGTTGTAACATATATAGTAAACATGAAGTAAACATTTAAAAGTTAATATAAGGCCTTTAATAATTGTGTTATTATAAAAACAGTGTTTATAAATATAAATACAATTATTTAAATAACTTTTACAGCTTTTAATAATAAAAAAAGTTATGACTCTTTTTGCTAGGATTCAGGAGCTTCAAAAGGAAGTGGCACAGCTGAAGCTTGACCTAAAGAGAGCGCAGGCAGGAATCAAACATCTAAACACTCAGGTAAGCATGCACACACTTAAACTTATTTCATTTAATTATATATAAGATTACTTATTCTGAGGTGCTATTTTAATATTTCAGGAAACAAATTGTTTTACATGAGCTGCTACCTCATTGTCTGGTGAGAATGAGAGCATGATTATAGTTGTTAAAGTGAAACTGAGAGTCCTCCTTAAACTTGTTTAATACTTTTTTTGCAACATCCTTCAGGAGACCACATGGGTATTCAGAACTGTCAGTTATTTCTAAAATAATATTGTCTCAGTTATTTATTATATTTTAACAGTGAATGCCTTTATTCATAACATGCACCCTTAGAAGTTTTGGTCATGCTGTGTGTACAGGTGGAAGAGAGAGATAAAGAGATTGAGCGTCTGAATCGAGCTCTGGATGGTGGTCGACCAAATGATGTCATCTCTCTGGAGGCTCAAAACATCAGTAATGAAAAACTTATTGCTCATCTGAACCTGCAGGTAAATGGATATTCCTCTAATAATTATATTTACTTCATCTTGTCTGGCAGATTATCTGACTGAGACCACCGAACCAAACATATACCTTCAAGATTAAGAGTTCACTGATGTCCATCACCTCTTTCTGTTTGCTTTATGCGTTTATAGGTGTTTATCTCCAGCTAGATGCTAACCCTGTAATAAGCCTATAATAACAAATAATTTCCTCTCTCAGATAGAGTATCTGCAGGAGACCAACAGATCCCTGGAACAGAGAATTGACGGACTGCAACAGAGGAAGAAGACCGTGTCCAGTGAGGTGGCTGACCTGAGTGCTCGAAATCAAGAGCTCTGTCAGGAGCTCACTGAGATAGACCAGCTTGCCCAGCAGCTAGAGAAAGACAAGGAGATGGTTCTAGAGACTGCCGACATGGAGCTGCAAGAGGCCAAGGTGAACTCAGTGGGGTCTATGCGTGTGACCTTTTTTTTGTTTTTTTTTGGCGTTTTGCCGTTATTTAGATAGGACAGTCTAATGACAGGAAGCGAATTGGGAGAGAGATGGGGGCGGGATTGGGAAAGGTCCACAAGCCGGGATTTGAAATCAGGACGCCTGTAGCGCAACAGCGCTGTATGTCGGCTCGCTGCCCACAAGGCTATCTGCACCGACTGTGATCAACTTTCAAGTAATAGAATAAGCCTCAGTTCTTCTCTGAAGGTGTAAAGTTTTGCAAAATCTATTTATATAAAATTAATAATACTGGATTAACGTTGCTGTATATAAGTGATTTTAAGCAGGTTTTTTTTTACTTGCCTTTCTATTTTATTTAATTATATTTTATTGCTATTTAATTATATTTTTAAGAGTCTAGGCCAGTCACAGACAAGTGCATTTCAGTAATATTAGATGACATTTTATATTCAGAGAACCTTAAATTCTTAAATCTTAAATTTTGACTTAAATTAAATTTTAAAATTGACAAATACAATTTTAATACTCATATATTTTAATATGTATTGCTATTTAATACTTAGTAAACTAATGATTATAATGTTAACTTTTGGTCTCAATGTGTTAAAGCTTGGATTTTAATATTTTAAATACTTAAATATTTAGCTTTATGTTGTGATACTTACACTAGCCCTGTTTCTATCTCTAGAAAGAGGTTCAACGTCAACAGCAGGAGCTAGAGAACCTGGAGGAGGTCATCACTACATTAAGACGGGTATGTGCATGGGTCCACATTGCAGCATGTGAAATGAGCTGTTAAATTAACCATCTGGTTCAGAACAGCACATTTATTCTGTCTGGCCTGACATGACATGGATGGTTAAGTATAGCTTCTGGATATAAACTTATGTTTTTGTTTACCATCTTTGGGGAAATACTTTACAACATCTATTAAAAGATTCCTGACTATAAGGAAATACTTCTTCATATAGCTGTTCCAGATATCTCACTCTTTATTACTGGCCTTTAGAGTGTTTGAATAGTGGTAATTAGGAATTTTGCAGGTGAATAATCTTAACACACAAATAAAAATGTCTCCATGTTTATCTGAAAATTAAGTTATAAATTAAAGGTGTGCATTGTAAAGAACATTTGTAAACTGTTTCAGAAACCAGGCATTTCTTTTGAATCCAAATGCAATAATACAAAGAAAAAATCAAAGACAATACAACATGAACTGTATTTATTAATTAAAGAAGAAAAAAGAATGGCCAATTAAAAATCATAATGACCAATTAATAATTTGAAGCATACACCATTGCCACTCATCAGGTCGTGTCCACAGCGCTACCAAAGTCCCTTTCAAAAAAGTCTGTTCACTGGGCGGCCATATTTGCAACGCCTCCAGGCAGCTTAAACAAGACCAAGTCCTGTCTAAATGAATGGGGGAATCCTGAAATCTCAAAAACTGCTCGCTGAAGTCGCAATTAAATTACATATTTCAAATCAGCAATAAAATCTAAATGAACTGCCCCTTGAATGTTGTTTCTTATGCTAAAATAGTGTTTAAAAAGCTTGTTTTTCAGGCTAGACCGGCCAATGCGCTTGCGCAGTCATAGCACGCTTAAGACTGCGCATGCGCATTGGCTGGTCTAGCCTCAGGTTTTTTATGGGAACTGGAGCTTCTAATGGCTGCTGCAGTGATGCAATGACTTTACCAATCAGCGATTGGCTCTTATTTAGAAGGCGGGACTATTCCGCCATATTGCAGTTTCTCCCATTCATAAGTATAGGAGTGAACCGTCTTTGTATTTCTATAGTCTTTGGCGCCACCCAATGCATTCAATTATAACTGTGATTTGGGTGAGATTCAGTAAAAAAAAAAATTTGTAATGATTTGTTGTAGGATATGGCAGAGGGAGATCACGTGAAAGGCCGTCTGAGGGATCAACTGCTTGATCTTCAAGAACAGAATGACAAGATGGAGGGCCTAATACACTTTCTGGAAGTAGACAAAAAGAGACTTCAGGATAAAGTAGAAGCAATGACACAGGCTGGTGAGATGTAACACTGCTCTATATGTTTTATTTGCAGGTGTGTGTGGGGTGTGCATATGTGGTTTGTCATTCACCTGATTTTGGTACTGTGCTTGTTTCAGATAAGCAGATGATTCTAGAATTGGAGCAGATGCGTGCAAGGCATGGGATGTGTGGCAAGGAGCAGTCTCCATCCCGTCTTGATGGCTTTTTGAAAAGTTTAGAGGAGGAAAGGAATTACTACAAACAGGAGCTGGAGCGATACCGGCTGCTTAGGGGCAGGACAGACAAAAGCCCCACCCCTAGTCCAGGCAGGGGGAGGAGCCCCAGAGGAAGAGGCAGCTGGCACGGAAAGGTTGGAGCTGACATTTACTTCTGTAATTACATACTAATTATTACATACATACATAATTATATAGTTTTTCTCACTTTATGAACTGTTAAAGGGATAGTTCACACAAAAATGAAAATTGTCATTTATTACTCACCCTCATGCGGTTCCAAAACCGTAAGACCTTTGTTCTTCGGAACGCAAATTGATTCATTATGTTTGTTTCTTTGCACACAAAAAGTATTCTCGTAGCGTCATAAAATTGCTGTTGAACCACTGATGTCACATGGACTATTTTAATGATGTCCATACTACGTTTCTGGGTCTTGAATGTGGTAGTACCCTTGCTGTCTATGCAGAGTCAGAAAGCTCTCGGATTTTATCAAAAATATCTTAATTTGTGTTTCGAAGATGAACAAAGGTCTTACGAGTTTGGAACCACTTGAGGGTGAGTAATTTTTTCCCACATTTTTGGGTGAACTATCCCTTTAACATATGGACACCTGGATGAAGTGTAAATAAGCTTCCTATTTACAAATATACCTTTTGTTTTAAATAAATAATGATTTGCTACGTTTTCAAAATATAAAAGCCAGTGAAAATTTTATAAAAAAAAATAAATATAAATGAAAATATCTGTGAAAAGATGCAATATTTTGTAATTATAGTTATTATACATTTTATGCATATTTCCTTATTACCTTTATTTTATACGTCATAACTGATTTTGTAACAAGGCTGCATTTTTGTGCACATTTTACTGATTGACTCTTTAATTACCTGCTTAAACAATTATTTTAGAAAGTATTTACCAAATATACAAAAACAACATGATTACATCACACCTCACTGGGAAACAAGTGGCTGTTTTTGTATTTCTAGAGAGATGGTGACGCAGAGCTTTCACGTGCACTGAAGGAGAGGGATGAGCTACAGTCAGTGCTGCTGGGCTTTGAGAAACACATGGAAGACATCCAGACCAGAGTTAAATTACTGACTGCAGAGAGAGACCAGCTCAGCACTCAGTACCAGCAGGTGAGAAGAAATCTGGAAATGCATTTTTTTTAAGACACATCTAGATAGAAGATAAGACACATCTAGTTGTTTTCCTTTAAAGTTATGCGTGTGTTTTAAATATAGGCTCAGGAGGAGCTGAGACGTGTCCAAAGGGAGCTTGAGTCCTCTGAATTCCAGCACAGGATCAGAGATGACAGGGAACAGACTGAAGCTGAACTCCAGAGAGCTACTGCCGAGAGAGACGCACTTAGAGACAGGCTCAAGGTGTGTGTTTTTGTGCGTTTGTGTATGTGTTTGCAAATTGAGTTATTGTTTTTTTTTTAGCAGACCATAGGGGTTGCACCGACTAATCAACTAGTCGACTTCAGTGCTCTGCCATGACACTTTTAGCTTGACGTCGACTAGTCGCTGGTTCTATACAGGGCGCAACAGGATAATAAATCTTTGAAGGACTTCCACATTTACGCCCCGTTTCCAAACAGTTCAAATGACAAATAAATGCATACTCTGAAAGCGCTCCACAAGACATATGCGATTATATTACTGGATGCTCGAAATTGAACAGGAGAATGCACGTTTTAAACAGCTTATTGTACAGGTAAGTTAATCGCCGTTCTAATCTAATGCGCAGCTGCACTGTAACGCACACACATAGGCTACAGACAGTAGCGCGTACATCACGCGCACAGAATCATTCAGCGCGGAAATGTATTGTCAACACTGTTCTGTGATTTCTCAATAAAATAGCTTAGAAACTGAATAGTTCTAGCATATATTTCTTAATAACTAAATCCCACAGCTTCACTATTAGTAGAGAGACGCTGCCAGGTAGAATTAATTCACACACGCAATCGCTCTCACTAATGCATTCATATTAATGTAATCTTTACTGTGCTACTTTATCTGTATCTGATTTAGAATGAGCAGAAATCTGTGAGAAATATAACGACCTAAAGACAAAAGAACTGATAAAAAAAGCTGTTATAGGAGCAATAGCCGTGTGGGCAGCGCTGTGTCATATGTCATAGCTGTGCACAAGGTGTTTGTCACAGCTCCAGACTTATTTGTTCATTAATGACGTCATCAGCGACTAGTTGATTTCGACTCGACTTTCATCACATAAAAGTCGACTTAAAAAAATCAGAAGTCGTTCAAGCCCTAGCAGACCATAAATAGCTGCTAAGTATATGCAGGCAGTTTTCTGTGGTTAGAGTTGTGCGTTTGAAATTCCACATAGCACTTCTAAACTGTAGTTCACTTGTAGGTTGAGTGATATAGCTGTGTGTTAAAGGGAGAGTTGCCAAGATAAATCTTCTTTCGGATTTTGCAGGTTGCACAGAGCACAGCTCTGACAGACAGAGAACAGGAGGAGATCAGGATTCTTGACCTGGAGAACACCATTGAGATGGTACTACACTAACAGAGCTTGCACTGTTTATAGTTTCACAAACATTACCAGTGTGTTTTGTCATGTCTGGATAGTCATAGGCTAATTAATTCCAGATGTCTTGAGGGCACTGCAGGAAGGGGACCGTACTTGTAGGGCTGTTAAAAATTAATGTGAGCAACTGAATCCCTTCCAAAAGACATTTTATGACCTGTACATTTGTAATTTGCAATTTATGATCATTTGATTCTGGGTGGGAAGTTTTTATTACTTATTATGAGACCTGAATTGCTCTCATGAATAAAAATTGTATTATACTTAGTATACTAATAGAAAACTTTCTCCCCGTATTTTTAATTTTCCACCCCCAAGTGGCACACTGAAAATAGCACAAAGTAAACTTGGATTAAACCCATTTGGATATTTGACACAAAACTTATATTAACAACTTAAACTTAACCTAAAAGCTATAAACATAGGTTTTGATTGTATGTTATGAGGGTAACCTTCTGGAGCCAGTAATGTTTAGATTGATGTAGGATTTAACAAAAGTGCACATATATGAGAGCAATGCAATGCACCCTTCAAAGTGCCCTTTGCCTTGTTTGTGGGTAGGGCAAAAGAAATGCTCACTTATAAATTTGCCCTATATGTGAGGTTATTTTTAGGTTTTAAAAAATCATAATTTGAAACATTACTGTGCGTGTGTGTGTAGCTGGAGAGAGAGAGGGCTGATCTGCGTGCTCAGGTGGCTGTGCTCAAGGAGAGTCATGTTGCTGTTGAGAAGGAGCTGAAGGCTCAGTCAGCGGTGCTGCTGCAGAATGTAGAAGAGGCCACACAGCAGAGAGCCGAGAGCTGTGCACTCAGGTCTGTGTGTGTGTGTGTTTGTTTGTGTAGCACCGCTGTAGATGGACATTCCTGCCTGTCTTGGTTGTGCTTAAATTGTACCCAGCAGTTGTACCCAAAATTATAAATCCCCTTGATATTTCACATATGTGTGTGGGTGTGCGTTTAGGCTTCTGCAGGAGCAGATGGAGCAGTCTCTCTCAGATGTTCAGCACAGATTATCTGTCAAGACCAATGAACTGCGAGCAGCTCACCAACAGATCGACAAACTAGAAGAGAAAATCGGTGTGTGTCAGAACAGTGTCTTGTATTGCACTTTTCGAATTTTCTCAAGTGCACATCTTTATCTAATTATTAGCTGTTCTGTCTCTTCCTTCCTGTTTTCTCTCATGCATCTGTCTCTCTGTATTAGGCTTGTCAGAAGTACCTTTACTTTGGTATCTAGCCAACACATTTATTTCATTGTTCTTATAGTATTATCTAACTAATTGAGAAAGTTACTTAACTGAGAAATGCTTAAAGGCGATATGCCATTGTTTCAAATTAATTAGTAAATATATTGATGATAGTGTTTTTTCAACACCAGATCAACATATTAGAATGATTTCTGAAATTACATTATAAATTTGATCAAATTAATTTAGCTATTGTGAGCTTAAAAATACTTCAAAAGACTACAAAAATATTTATCTATATCTAACTAATATCTAACTAACGCCAAACTTTTGAAGAGAACTTTTTTTGGGTGGGGGGGTGTATATTAAATAGCATATTAGTTTTGTGTTAATGAGATGCATTTGAAATTTAGGTATCATGACATCCTTTCACTGTACAGTTGTAAATCCTTTTGTAGTAGAAAGAAGATTGTGATCGCTGTGTTTTTTGTGTAGCTGATCTGAGTATACACGGTTCATCTCAGAAGGATGAGGTTGCAGCTCTGCAGAGCACAATAGCCTCTCTAGACCGAGAGAAAGATGCCCTGCAGGATGCCGTGGACCAGAAGACTGAGAGTATGGTGCTGCTACAAGAGGAGATCCACAGGAAGGTACTGCTGATACTTGACACACAGTATGAGGGGATGTTTTATTGTAGCCCTGTTCCCAAAACAGAATGTTTTGTAATATTTGTAGAGAAGATAAACAGCTGCAATCAGTAAATCATGAAAATTGCTGTGGTACTGCTTTATAAAGTTGGTTTTGCTCTACAGGAGAAAACAATTTTGGAAGTCCGGCTTATAGTCACAGACTTGGAGAACTCTCTGGAGTAAGTAACATGAATGTTCTTAGGATGATGAGATGTTTCTGTCTTTTTGGGGAAGAATAGAAGGCCTTGAATGTACATATGTCATGTATTTCAGTCAGCTGAAGGTGACGTTGAGCAGTCGAGAGAGGGAAATCGCTAGTCTGCGCAGACAGCTAGACCAATCACAAGAGGAGCTCTCAGCCGTCAGTCGAGACAGAGAGGTCGCGCTGAGAGAGAACCGCAGGTTACAGGATGATCTGGCAACCATGACCAGAGAAAACCAGGTGCATACATCCACAACAGACCTCTCCTTTTTTCTTTGTTTTTCTTCCCACCCCTTCCAAATGGTAAAGGTGAACCCACTTCTGTTCACATGACCATCTATGACCAGTGAACTTCACATACACACATGCTCACGTTCTTGTGGTCCTTTCTCCAGGCGGTGCACGGAGAGATGCAGGAAGCTCTGAATGAGAGGGATGAACTGAAGCTCAGGGTTCACTCGTATATCTCAGAAGTGGCACGGATAGAAAGCATGATGGCTGCCAAGGTGAGAAATGGAGAGGAAAAAACACCAAAAATAAGTAATTTGATTAAAGACACCAATGTTCAGTAAACAGTTAAATTAAATAAACCAGGGTTACAGTGGCCACTAATTATTGTTTACAATTATTGATCTCAAACTATTTTTCACAGGAAAATTAAAGTGGGTGATGAAAATACTACATTAACTTAAAGCTGCAGTCCGTAACTTTTTTTTGGTTAAAAATGATCCGAAATCAATATTTGAGCAAGTACATAACCAGCCAGTGTTCGAAACTATCGTCTGCCTTTAGCCCGATTCACAACGGTTAGCTTATAATAATGTTTTCTAATTTGAGTGGTACGGGTAGGTTTTCGCGGGAAATTCGAGCATGGCACTGCGTCATTACGTCACGTCGGTAAACATAAAGAAGTTGTCCCGGCTACTAGGCTATGGCATGTGAGGGTCCTGCAGGTGGCAGATCGTTTATAGCCTTTTCTCACAGCAGCCAGAATAATTAAATGTATCATTTTGATGGCGGATTGTAATCCATAAAGGATTGTGTTTATGAAACACATGTGAATGAAATTAAATTATATTCCAGCTATAAATGTGTTTCTGATTACAGATAGCCTGGGATTACAAAGATTCGTATTTTAAAGAAAACCAGTTCGAAGTAGGGCTGTCACGATTATGAAATTTGGCTGACGAGTAATTGTCTAAAAATAGTCACGGTTATTGCGATTAATTGTCTGTTTTAGGGCTTTCATTATATAATAGATTAATTTAAGGGGTCAGTAAATAATTATAATGTTATCTTTTAATCTTTTTGAGTTATTATTTTGTAGTGTAAGATTACATGGAGTATTCCAAATTCTAAGAATTGGCCAATACCGATCCAAAACCAGCGCTATTTTTTTTCTACACCACTACAGAATATCAATACTGTGTTTGTGGAACTAGTGGTCACTCTTTTAAACCCTTTGTTAAACGCAATCCACTAAATACTCACTTCCTCATTACAGAGAAAAACTACATTTTAATAACAATATATAATCTATGAAATTACACTAGCTGACTGTATAATTTAGCAGCAAAAACAATATCTTGAAAAAAAAATCTTTGGTGCACATTATACAATTTAAACATGTTTATTCTGTTAACTATTTGTATTCTTACAAAATACATTCATGAATATAAGACAGAAATCATGATAAAAAGAAAGGCTTCTAATAATCTTTCTGTTTGTGATCATTCCTTCCTTCCTTAAACTTAAAGTATTATAATGGGAATATATCATCTTGGAGAGAGAGTTTTACCGTGCTGACTGTCATAACTGAACGTGACGTGCTGTTTGAATACTGAGCGGAGAATGACTGACAGCTGCAGCAGAAGGAAGATGAGTTTCTGTAAACCTGAATTCTGTCCCTCACATTAAGACATGCAAGCACTGTCACCGTTAGTTTTTCTTTTCTTTTTGTTTTCATTTTTATACCATGTTGTAGCGCAAAAAAAAACAAAAAAAAATGCGACCAAATCATGTGCTTGTGCGACCAGCTGAGAAAGTTAGCTGCAAAACAGCGAGCAGTGGGAAGAATGAGTCTGGAGCCCTGTATAGGCTATACAGTGCATGAAAAGCAAACTGGTGCTCTTCTGTTTCTTTTGGTGTATGACTCCCCCTTGTCTTGTATAAAAAGCACAATAATCGCGGTTGTCTGAAACAACCGCAGTTAGATCAAATAATCGCGATTAGACGGTTATTTAATTATCGCGACAGGCCTAGTTCGAAGGGAGCATAGTTTGCTTTTTGGGTTAAAAGAATTTCTTAATATAAAATTTGATGAGTATAACAATTAGATTAGACTGTGCAGAAATTGAAGTCTACATGCTAATTCAAACAGAGATGGCGACAAAAAGGCAAAACTTACGGACTGCAGCTTTAAAAAAAAAAAAGTAAAATGCAGAGTTAAAATTCAGTGCAGATTCATTTTGTGAACACTCCAATTTGAAGTCAGAAGTGTCGATGCAATTTAAGATTTTGCACTGACGCTGTTTTATGTTGTGTATAGGAACAGGAAAACAGGGACATGCTGGAGCGTTTCCGGACCATCCACACTGAGTCGGAGGATAGAGAGCTGAAGCTGCAGCAGGCTGAGGGGCTAAACAACTCTATCAGACTGGAGCTGCTCTCATCTGACACAGAACGCAGACACCTCCGAGAGAGAGTCTCACTGCAGGACAGGGAGATACAGGAGGTGAGTGACTCTGAGCATGAGGAGTACACTAAAGGCCGTTTTTCATTGCCTCATCTCCTCTGTTTTCCTTCAGCACTTGAACGCTCTGCAAGCATATGAAGCTCAGGTGTCGTCGCTGGCACGGGCAATGTCTCGTTTGGAAGAGGAGATCCAGGCGACTCGAGCTGAGAAAGCCTCAGTGTTGGCAGACCTGGCCTCTGTCAGAGAACTGTGCGTCAAACTCGACTCCAGCAAAGAGCTCACCATTCGCCAGCTGACAGCTAAGAGCATGGAGCTGGAGAGAGTAAGACGCACACGTCATCCTACTACATCTTTAGAAATAGTTTGAAAATGAGCAAATATGCAAGCAACCAACACTAACCTTTGAATGTCAAACTCAGGTGACGGGTGAACTGGAGGATGTGCACTCTGAGGCAGAGCTTCTGAAAAAGCAGTTGGCCAGCGAGCGGCTGACGGTACGCAATCTAGAGACACTGCTCTCCACCAATCGACAGAAGGAGTTTCAGACGCACCTGAGTGCCAGTGAGAAAGAGTCTGAGCTCAAAGTGCTGAAGGACCGCCTGGCTCTTGCTGACAGCAAAACGTAAGTGTAAAAACAGTTTGCAAAAGGGCCATTTATAACGCTTTTGTGACTGTTACACTACCTTTCAAAAGTCTGTAAGTTATAGGGTTCGTACGGGTGCTTGAAATCCTTGAAAATGCTTGAATTTTAACGTAGTGTTTTCAAGGTTTGAAAAGTGCTTGGATTTTGGATAAAGTGCTTGAAACTGCTTGAAATTGCAATTGCATTGGTTTTATAATAATTTGTTTATTACTGAATAACATTAGTTCACTTTTTAGACAAAATGCCTTTTGCATAAAATGAAAACAGCTCCCCTCGACTCTGCGCATGTGGCTATAGTGTGATCCGCCGGTCTTTATTGACGCGCACCTCTGATGGAGCAGAGCGGGAGATTAAAACATGTCGGGAGGTTGCTGAGTCAGTCAGCGTTGGCTATACAAAAATGATGGTTAAAATAATGTAAAGTCTCCTGTAAAGTCTGCTTTTTCAGTTGTGTAAAAGGTAAGCAAAAATATCCATGCTCCGTTAAACTAAATATGTTAAAGGGACAGTTCACCCAAAAATGAACATTCTGTCATTAATTACTCACCCTCATGTCATTCCAAACCTGTAAGACCTTCGTTCATCTTCGAAACACAAATTTAGATTTTTTTTATGCATTCCGTGAGCTCTCTGACCCTCCCATAGACAGCAAGGATTCTTACACAATCAAGGCTCAGAAACGTAGCAAGGAGATCATTAAAATAATCCATGTGACATCAGTGGTTCAACCGTAACTTTATGAAGCTACGAGAATACTTTTTTTGCGCAAAGAAGGCAAAAATAACTACTTTATTCAACAATTCGTCTCCTCCGTGTCACCCTGTAGCGCCATTTTGGAGAGTATCACATACATAAAAAATTATGCAAAGTATGATACGCTGTTTACACAGCTCAGCTTCAGAACACAAATTAAGATATTTTTGATGAAATCCGAGAGCTTTCTGACCCTGCATAGATAGCAAGGGAACTACCACGGTCAAGGCTCAGAAAGAGTAAGGACATCGGTAAAATAATCCATGTGACATCAGTGGTTCAACCGTAACTTTATGAAGCTACGAGAATACTTTTTGTGCGCAAAGAAGGCAAAAATAACTACTTTATTCAACAATTCGTCTCCTCCGTGTCACCCTGTAGCGCCATTTTGGAGAGTATCACATACATAAAAAATTATGCAAAGTATGATACGCTGTTTACACAGATCAAAGCGTAAACGGCGTATCCGCTTATTTTTGTTTTCTTTGTGCACAAAAAGTATTCTCGTAGCTTCGTAAAATTATGGTTGAACCACTGATGTCACATGGATTATTTTAACGATCTCCTTACTACATGGAAGGAGCCTTGATCGTGGAAGGATCCTTGCTGTCTGCTAGTGGCAGACAGAACCTCACATTTTAGCCATTAAACTATTTTTAAGAAATAAAGGAAAGGGATGAGTCAAAAGTGTAAAGAATTATTTTAACTTAAATCACACAGACATCTTACTGTTTAAATTTTTTTGATTTTTGAAGGCACATTTGCTTTTTGTTCTGAACAAAAACAGCAGACAGGCTTATTGAAAATGCTAATTCATCCTCTGCCATCAAAGCCGCTGAGAAAAAATTATTCTTTATACTTTTGACCCTTTTCTTTATTTCTTAAAAATATATTAAAGGCTGAAATGTGAGGTTTGTCACTTTATAAAACTCTTTCTATTTGTGAAAACCTGTATTTGAACTGCAAATCATGTTTTGTGCAGTCATTTTATGGTTTAATGTTACCATAGACATTGCTCTACCCTGCTCATACAGTATTTATTTTATTTGTGCAGGTCTTAAAAAGCCTTACATTTTATTTAAAAAATCCTGCAGATACCCTGTAAATTCTTTCTTTCTTTCTTTTTTATTTTATAATTTATATCCTGTATGTTGGCTGGCTATTTATATTATGCAATGCTATATGCAATGGTTTTTAATAGCACAATAACATCTAATTTAAAGTGAAAAAAAAAAGTGTGTGTGTGTGTAAACATGTAATTTACCACAGTTTAAAGTGCTGGAAAAGCTTGAAAATGCACCTTGAAAGTGCTTGAAAAGTGCTTGAATTTGAATTTGGTGTAGCAAATTAACTCAAAGGGGGAATATTAATAATTAATCATAACTCGTTATAATTAATTGTAATATTTGGATAGGTTAATAGAATTAGCTTGATCAAGCAGAATTTACAGTACAATCAATTGACCATTTCGTCTAGTGAACGCTAGGGGTTGAACGACTTCTGATTTTTTGAAGTCGACTTTTATGTGATGAAAGTCGAGTCGAAGTCAACTAGTCGCTGATGACGTCATTAATGAACAAATAAGTCTGGAGCTGTGACAAACACCTTGTGCACAGCTATGACATATGACACCGCGCTGCCCACATGGCTATTGCTCCTATAACAGCTTTTTTTATCAGTTCTTTTGTCTTTGGGTCGTTATATTTCTCACAGATTTCTGCTCATTCTAAATCAGATACAGATAAAGTAGCACAGTAAAGATTACATTAATATGAATGCATTAGTGAGAGGGCGATTGCGTGTGTGAATTAATTCTACCTGGCAGCGTCTCTCTACTAATAGTGAAGCAGTGGAATTTAGTTATTAAGAAATATATGCTAGAACTTTTCAGTTTCTAAGCTATTTTATTGAGAAATCACAGAACAGTGTTGACAATACATTTCCACGCTGAATGATTATGTGCGCATGATGTACGCGCTACTGTCTATAGCCTATGTGTGTGCGTTACAGTGCAGCAGCACATTAGATTAGAACGGCGATTAACACAACCTTTACAATAAGCTGTTTAAAATGTGCATTCTCCCGTTAAATTTCGAGCATCCAGTAATATAATCACACGTCTTGTGGAGCGCTTTCAGAGTATGCATTTATTTGTCATTTGAACTGTTTGGAAACGGAGTGTAAATGTGGAAGTCCTTCAAAGATTTCTTATCCTGTTGCGCCCTCTATAGAACCAGCGACTAGTCGACGTCAAGCTTAAAGCGTCATGGCAGAGCATTGAAGTCAACTAGTCGATTAGTCGGTGCAACCCCTAGTGAACGCTCAGTATTGATTATTAATTCAAAGAAATGTTAATTTCCATGTTAAGGGAAATACCCTTTTTAAGGTACAGTACTACTCAGAGCATGTAAACAAGATCAAAATCGTTAAATTGACTGTTGCAAGCAGGGAATCAGAACCAAATACTCATATGTATTGTCCACAAAGTTTTATTAACTAAATCACAAACACATAACTAGTCTAAAAGCACACACACACACACAAATCACGCATATGTGGTACATGGGAAGGGTAAGTGACACTGGATGAATGAAACCGGACAGAAGCAGGGAGAATGAGGTCGAGTTGACCATCTGAAAGAACCATCAGTCTCTAATTCAAAGCACAGTATATGATAGCTTACATCAAACCTCTGTCTGGTGAAAGGAACTATAATTGCATTTGACTTGGCTGTGGAACGAGAGTCTCGTGAAGCCTCTGAAGAAGGTCTGGATGTTTCATTCGATGGCAGAAGTTGCAATCTCTTGAAACTCCAAGGTTGTTCTTGACTCTGTTGTGGTTGAGAGAGTGCTCTCTCCTGAGTAAGCACATGGCTGGGTGTAAAATTGGGCCTGCTGGCCCTGGGGGCCGCAGTGGAACTGCAGGCCACAATCCAGAGATGAAGATGCAGAGACTGCTGGGAGCAAAGAGAGAGAAATGTCTGATCGAGGACATTTCCATTATGGTGAATTCCAGGGTTGAGTGATGACGAACTCCAGTGGTATTAGTCTTGACTCTTGGTGGTCGAGAGCCATCTCCCCAGGCTGGGGAGACTGCACACAGCTCTATATGTTGGGGCCTGCCGGGCGCGCCCCCGTCAGCTCAGGCTCTCCACACAGGCAGCAATCAGAAGATTTAGCAGAAGAGAGAAGGCGGAACTGTGTGTGAGCCATTTAAAGTCTGGGAAGAGTCACGCCTCTCAGGAAGGGCTTGACCAATGAGAAAAGCTGAATTTCCAAGCGGGAGGTTGGAAATATTGGGGTGTTTTTATGACTCCTTGTCTGAGAGCATGGTTCGAATGGCTCTGGCAGTCTATACTCTGATTAAATTACAAACACATGGCATTCTATGAGGAGGTAGTGTACACCAGAGTGTGCGTTGTTAAATGAGCATTGATTTGGTAGGAGACACGATATAGGTGGGGTTACATCAACTAGTACTTCACTCATAAAGCATGCATAAAACAAAATACAATCCAAGAGACACTATACAAGACAGTTAAAATCATACACACAATGTCCTGGGATGCATGCTTATTCGTAGAAAGGTTTGTCTATGAGTGCAAAGGAGGAAAGTTCCCTTTTTATGGGCATTGTGTAGGTTTCAGAAGGGTCCGTTCTTATTGCACGTGGCATCTCTCACATATTTTGAGTAAATAAAACAGTCTTATCAGATGGTTGCCCTGGTAACTGAGCTCTTTAGGGTGCTCTTTCGGGGGAAGGGTCCATAGACCCTCACAGTTTGCTCGTTGAGTAAGGGGGTTTGCTGGATTATTCATTAAATAGAATTAATAAATCTGTGTCTGATTAGTCCAAACGCTACATTCAAAAAGGTGTAAGAGCCCTGTAAATGTTTGTTTTTTTTAAGTGTTTTTGAAACTATTTGATGCTATCCGAAGCTAAATTTATTTGATGGAAAAATACAATAAAAGCTTTGACAAATAGTATTAAAACTGTCAAATAAAAAGTTATTTTATGTCATATTTTATGTATGATTAAGTTTTATGTATTTTATGTAATTTATTCAAAGTTGAATTGCTAACTGCCAATTCGCATGTTTTCACTGATGCATGATCAAAAGTTAAAAGCAATTTTAAATGTAACACTCACTTAATCTGTCCTGTTGTTTTAGAGTAGTTTATATATATATATATATATATATATACACACATATATGTATGTATATATATGTATGT